AAATCAAATTTTCATATTATCACCACCACATGTAGTTGACCCTATCCATATTTTCCCCCTAACACTGCAAGCACCGGCCGCCTCACAGTCTGTGCTGCGCATGAAGGACGTCTAGGAAGCAGTTGTGGCCCACAATGACTTTATCAGCCGCCGCATCGAGGAGCGATCGGACCCCCACTTGGACCGTTGTTTGTTGCAAGTCCTCCTGCATGAATGAGTATAAGTCGTCAACCCTACCACCAGTGCTGGACTCACCTCTATCTCCTTAATCTGAGTTTCATATAATTGGTCTTGACTCCGATATACTACAAGCATCCTCTCTCCATCAGATGCTCTCCTTGATGAATATGAATACAGATTGGGGTACTCAGCCGCAATAACACTGTGCATCAACAGACGCTGGAATGCTGACGGCATCGGAACCTGAGCAGGCACAAAGTCCGTATCATAACCGCAACGAGTGAGCGATCCTTACTATCGTATAGTCAACTCATGGAAACCTGTACGTATAACTATACTACAACGGAGTTTCACCCATTTAACGTGAAGTGGCCTAATACTCTGTGAAAAACGCGATATTGGCGCTATGCAGTAGTCGTAAAATAAGTTTTTCCTTAGTGTTTTTCATACAAGAAACTCAAATATAAAATACCTCTATAGATAATATAATGTGATACTTTATATATATGGAAGCTCTCACCCGTTTTACGTGGAGCGGCGTAGTACTCTGTGAAAAACGCCATATTGGCGCTATGCAATAGTCGTGGAATATACTTCTCACTAGTGTTGTTCATATCACTAGGGTGAAACTTCATTATAATGGCGTATACCATATTTAGCGGATTAACGTTGTGCTCACCAAACTCACCTCGAGGTTGTTGGTCCCATGAGGATCATTCCGCAGCCAGTCACCGATCGTCTCCTTAACGTTGTTAATCACGTCCAGATCAGGTCCCGGCGAGATCTCCGGTGGTGCCTGGCATCATATGAGTAATAGCAGATACTGCTGACCGGCCTACTGGTGTCGCCTCCGACGCCGCCTTAGCCGTGGCCTGCTCCTTCATCTGCCGTATCTCGGTGATACGCTGCTCCAGGACCGACTCTGAGGAGGACACGATGATATGTGAGTAAGGAAATGTATGTCACTTTCCAATATTAATAAGAATCGATCTGAAACTATATCGCATGAACAATGTAAACATTGCCATGAACATGTGATGCGATGAAAGTAATCTCTCGAGACTGTGATAGAGATA